ATTTTATTCAACAAATGCCACTGATTCGAATTTTGTAATCTAACTATTTTTCATTTTGAATATTAAGACAAAAAAGATGGTTTCATTTATTTTCATATCAATGGGTAGTAAGTTACATAATACAAAAATTTTTTATTTTTTAACTTAACTCATTCAAATTACCAAGTTTCTTAAACTTGTAATTTAATTACTTGAAAAATACATTGTATTCCAAATCTAGCAAATTTTTCTATTAAATTTATTCGATCAAATATTCCAATAATGTATTGGAAAACTATTTTAAGTTGTTGCAATATTATTCTCAAGAGGTGCAATATATATAAACAAATATAAATAATAATAAATATTTTTTAAGTTTTACTTTAAAACAAAAATTTTCAACTTATCTCTTTTTTGATATATTACACATACCTTATAGTGGAAGTTAGATTAAAATAAAGTTGTGTCAAACCAATGGTTTGTGAAAATACAAGTCTAGCTATTACTAAAATTACTTTTATTCATATAGATATAAATTGCATAAATTTAGGATGAGCATTCTTTGAAATAAAACAAGAAAAAATTAGAGTGGCGTTAACACAATGCTCGAATTCAAGGGTTAGTTGCGTGATTTTAATGACATGTATATAATCATTTGGAAAGCTTACAGTTCCGGAAAGTGCCAAAAATTCAAATTTCAGAAATTTCGAGAGATGATAACTTGAGAGGGGGTGGATGTGGGAGAAAATTTTGTTCTAGTGAAATGAACTATTTATTATTATCCAAGAAGAGCTAAAATTTCAAAAATGTGTAAAAAACGAATTTTAGATAACGGTAAATTTTAGCTGCATTTTATATATGTAAAGTTCAAATCTATTGTTCGACAGTAGAAGAAGTCAGCCACTACTTTTGTGCGTTGACATTGTTTAAGCAATGTTTCAGGTTTTGCTAAAATCAATACTTAAATAATGGCATTTTTAGGGATTTGAGGCACTATAACTTTTAAAGCAGAGAGAAAGGTAAAAATTTTGTTCTACGGAAATAAGTTTATTTTGTTAGTAAAGATCTATCAAATTTAAACTTTCTTCACGGGTATACAAGTTTTGAAAACGGTTCAACGAATGAACGGACTTACAATTTGAAAGTAATAAGCACAGTTTTTTGCTAGAAGTGCTAAAAAATACGCCCCTGTAAAAAATACGCGAACGAAATACGTACGTATATATTAGCATTGAAGGAATTAGAATATACGTATCAAGTTTTTCTTTATTTTAAATTTTATTTGAGAAATAACATATTCAGATAATTATCGATTTATTTTGTAAAATTGTTTTTAAGTAATGAGATGTTTTTTTTGTTCGTTCTCTGTAAAGTTTATAAATTGCCTTTTAAAACATTTTTCCAAATATATATCGAGATTAGATTAATACTATTATAGAAAAATATCAAATTATTCAACAACACGTAAACATAAGTATATAATATAATAAAATAAATATTAACGAATTTTATCAATAGAATTGAATAAATTATAGGAAAATAGTTAATGAAAAACTAAAACAATAAAAGTTAAAAAAGTCATTTCAAACATATAACGTAAAGGTAATTTTTTATACCCGTACGAACGTATGTTCGGAGGGTACACTAAATTTGCCTTACCGTTTGTAACGCTAACATATAACGGTCTTAGATATAGACTCAAGTGTATGTTTTTGATCAACGTCAAATTCTGAGTTGATTTAGCTTTGTCTGTTCGTCCGTGCATCCCAACGATAACTCAAAAACTAATTGAGATAAGTTCACCAAAGATTTATTGTAGTTTATTGTACCGGATCGGGTAGCTGTCATATAAATTAAAAATTTATTCGGCTACATCTCAGAAACTATAAAAGTTGTGATATTGAAACTTCACACAAACGAATATATTAGTAGGGCCAATGTGTCTCATAAAAATCGTTGAAATTACTTGGCTCTTTCTGATACCTGCCATACAACTTCAAAAGTTATTTTACTATATTTCAGAAACTATTAAAGCTATGGTACTTCACACAAGTGAATATATTAGTAGGGCCAATGTGTTTGATAAAAGTCGTTGAAATTGCTTGGCTTCTACTGGTAGGTGTCGTACAACTTCAAAATTTATTTGGCTATATCTCAGAAACTATAAGGGCTGTGGTATTGAAATTTCACACAAACAAATATATTAGTAGGGTCGATGTGCTTGATAAAATTCGCTAAAATTTCTTGGCTCTTTCTGGTAGCTGTCATACAACTTCAATAGTAGTTTGGCACACACAGTATTTTGAAAAACACATAGTACTGAAATTTTGCATAAATTAATATGGTAATACGGCAACTTAAAGTTATAGTCTGCCCCATAGTTAGTTATGACATCTTTATTCACACATACGATAACAAATTCGCACTGGTATCACAGAATTGACAAGGTCAACTCTATTTTTTTTCTCGTTTTTATTATAAAATTAATTTGCTTACATATATGAACACTTACTTTCTTATGCACTATGTACATAAGTGAAAGTGAAGCATTTTTTATAAATATTAAGTAGATACACATATGCACATATGTATATGTGTTACATATATGTTTGCGTTCACAAGTTGATACACATATGTACATATATGTGATTTTTTTACGTTATTTTATATTTTACTTAACTATAAACATAAAATTAATTTTAGAATTGCATAACTTTATCAGAAATGTTTCATTAGATCTAAAGATTTTTTTCTCTCCTAGAAAGTGGTGCGCTTGGGTATGTATAGCTTTCTTTGAGGGTTGTAACTCTGTCACAACGGGGCGCTGCAATTGTATATATATTTCCACTTTAATGCATGTTTATATTTATATTTATTCTGCATTAAATACGCATTTTATTTATAAATTTTTGTAAATATTTTTTATGTATGTACATGTATTGGTAAAACTTCATTGTTCTAAAAATAAGCATTTGCATTATTTACCCTATTTGGTTACCCTACTGTTACAATTGTACTTCTAGTAGGTAACTTTAATGTTAACTTGTCAATAGATATAATAGCAGGACTTGACCTCGACGTAATATTTTTATTGTATCGAAATTTTTTGCTTCCTGAATTATAACAAATGTTCAATATCGTAAACAATAAAAAGATTTTATTAATAATTAAATTCTTTTTAGTTTCTTTATCGCAAAAAAAACCTACTCTAATATTTCCAAACATGCACATGCAAATAGACATAAAGAGTGTAATAGTTATTTCAAAACTTTACGAAATAAACATGCCGAAAAAAATTAATAAATAAAAAATTATATTGACATGTAATTAACAAATTCAGTCTAATTGTGGAGCTATTTACCGTATAATTTATGTAAATTCATTTTTAAAATATTTTTAAAATATAATTTTTTAACCAACATTAATACGTTTCTAATAAAAAAAATATATTTAAGGATTTTTTCTTAACAAAAATCTTCTAATCTACTTCTACATGCATTTGGAACCTCAGGTATGTAAACTACCTAGTAGTTACTAGGTAGTTTATTTTCTGTTCAACTTTCTAGCAGTCCGTAAAAGAATATAAATAGGTAATGAGTAAAATTATCAGAGTTTTCAAAAGTTGCCACTAATATTTTCAATATTTTTACTTACACACATAAAAGTCTTATTTATCACCAAGAAAAAACTACCAACGCAAAAAATCATAGATTAATTAACAAATAATAAGAAGAACTCAGAACAAATTATCACATTATGTATTTCGTATTTCTTCAAACATTCTGTATTTTCAGCAAGTACGAATCGCTTTTTATGGTTAACTCACCAATTTTTATTGTTAAATATATCTGCAAGACAAAAAACAGATTGGATTTACAAGCAATCGCAACATATCATAAATTTCAACAATTTAATTCTTAAATATTCATAAAAATTCTCATAAGTTTGGGAAAATAATCATCATCAGATCCTGTTTAAGCTTGCTTTCAATGTGAAGGCTTTTTAATTTTTCTACATTCTTCAATACTTTCTAAAACAAATTGTAAGTTATTCGCTTTTAACCTGTTGACATTAATCTAATTCTAAATAAAATTTAACTAATTCACTTGATTTACAGTTATTATATTAAATATTGTAATTAAAAGCAATAAAAATTATTTTCTTTACTTAAAAACGTATTAATATTCCGTAAAATATTGTTATAATAGAGAAAATGAGGAAGGACCCTCGTTAATTCTTCATCTGCATAAATTTTTATATATTTTAAATTTTTCTGAGTTGATTTTCTACAGAAAAGTCCATGCAAGTGAAGAGCTAACGACACGTCTGACACATTAATTATTTCAAAACTAGAGGTTCATTTGAGATACACTAACTAATTTTTTGGAAAAATTATGATTTATCATTTTAGTTGTTTAACTATTATTTCTCAAATCACTATAATACTAAATATAAAACTTTGTATTTTTACAAAAGTAATGTAAAAAGTTCGTAAGTTGTTATAATGCTTTTTGTATTAAGAGTATGTTGAGCAACGACACTTACATTTACTGTGTTTATAACCTATGAACTATAGAAAAAAGCAAAAAATATACGTATCTAAGTATCTACATACTTAAATGTAACGTGATTTTTGCTAATATAAAAAAACATTTGCAGCTTTTATTGAAGAAATTCAAATGTTTCTAATCTTTTGATAAGAAAACAATAGGACACCATGTCGAAAAATAGCAAATATCGAAACAGTTTTAAAAAAGCTTTGAATAACATCGTACTTAGTTTAATCTGTGATAAAAAAAAGAATTAAAGCAATTCTGCAAAAATCGCTAAAAATAAAAATTTTTATGTCCTTGGAGAAGAAGTTATAAATGTTTCGGTTTCCTCAAAATCAACCAAAACGCTTATTGTTTTACTAGGTAATAGTAAAATTTAATATACTAGAAATGAACATTAAAAGTGTAATATTCTTAATTTTCGTAACTTCAATAAATGGATATCCGACACAAAAAAATTATAAACAGCCAATTGAAATTAAAAATGATCAGATATTCTTGAATGTAATAATTAATGCAAAGACAAGATCTTTAGAGATAACCATTAAAAATGCACGTTTAATTGAAGGAGATCTTATTGTTGTTACAAATAGTGAACCAAAGGAATTTCCAAAGTTAAATAATCTTGGAACTAATTCAGAAATTAATTACGAAAAAACACAAAAATGGAAAGTAAATGCAGATACAATTTTGGGTAAATATGAGCCGAAACAAAAAGATGATTGGATAAAAACTAATTTGAAATTTAATTATGAGGAATCAGAAAAAATTGACTCAAAAACAGAATGCTATAGTCATTGGATTAGTTATATTGATAAGGATGGTAATATTTTATCTAAAAGCTGTATACGTGCCTATCCAACATGGATGAATGATATGAAGGATAGTATACAAAATTTTAATATGAAACAAATATTTATTCCCGGTTCTCATGACGCAGGCTCATATCGTTTAAATTTCAATCCCGAAAAGGATGAAACTGTAATAACAAAATATTCACTAACACAAGATGACAACATCAAGTCACAATTAATGCATGGTATTAGATACTTAGACATAAGAATGGGTTATTATGCTTTCACAAAAGATAAATTTTTTATGGTTCATGGTATTACAAAACAGAGACCTTTAAAAGAAGCTTTAGAACAATTGAAAAATTTCGTCATTGAAACAAATGAAATAGTAATTTTTGATGTCAGAAAGTTTGAACTAGGTAGGTTATTTAGAAACAAAAAAATGCTAGATTTTTCCGAACGATTGCGAAACGCCTTCGTATTTAACGAAATTCGATTTGCATGAATTATTATTTCCAAATGTTTTCCTTTTTTGTGAATAAATATTATACAGTTTTGCATATGTAGGTATACAAGGAAATAATTTTTTTCTTCATTAAACTGATAGTCATTTAAGTGTATGTTTAACTAAAAGAATAACGTATTTTGCAAAAATATTTTGAATTGATATAAATATTTAAGATAATTGATATATTATTTAAAATCAAGCTACAATTATGTAACACTAACTGTAAATTATTTCCAATTTGAAAACTTTGGCATTTGCTTCTAAAAATTCTGTAAAATATGTTAATGTATGTGCATGTGTGTACAATTAAATGTTCAATCAACCATTTAATTAAAGGTTTCCAAAATATTGAAGTTCACCGTGAACTTATAATGTATATAGAGAGCTATATTGGAGAATATTTAGTTGATGCTACTCATTCTTGGGATATTACATTAAACGAAATTTGGAATAGTGGAAAAAATATTATTTTGACGTATGGCGATTCCAGTATGAGGAATGAGTTTCCTAATATTTTATTTAATATTGTACAACATCGATGGGGTAATAAAGACGACTGGTCCAGTTTGGAAGAATATCTTAGAGGTCTGCACGGACATTTAACTGCAAGTGCTCAATCTGATATGGCTGAATTAACTCCGAATGCATGGGGTATTATAACTGGTAAATTAACAATTTTATTTTGATTTCATATTGCGATATTAATAATTTAAAAAACTTTTAATTAATTAAATTTAATTTAATTTTCATAGATAAATATGGTGGACTTCGAAAAATGGCTGATGACGTTAATCCAAAAGTATATGAATTATATTCAAAACATTTAGGGTTTACAACAAATATTTTAAGTGTTGATTTTCACCGTGGAATTGCAGTAACCGAATTAGCTATTCACTTTAACCGATTACGAAAACATACTCAACAATAATTTTAATAATTTTTTTAAATAATAAAGTTGGGTCAAACCAATGGTTTGTATTGTAGCACTTTTCCCTTCAACAATTGAAAATACTACTTTTAAAAACAGTCTATGTATATCCACCAAACTATTAAAATTATTTTCATTCATAAACAAAACTATTTCTAGGATTGCATATCTTTAGGATGCAGATATATAGGATATTTAGGATTTATGCAGTCTTTGAAATAAAGCAAAAATTAAGGGGTTAACATAATGCTCGATTTTAAGTGTTAATTGTGTGAGTTAAGAAAAATAATTATATTTTTTAATGTCATGGAATTTACCGTTAGCTTTTTGCGTTTATAGAAATTTGAAAAAGTTTGCGGTTTCGGAAATATAACGTGCCAAAAATTCAAATTTTATAAATTTCAAGAGGCGATAACTTGAGAGGGGGTGGAGATGGAAAAAAATTTTCTTCTAACGAAAATGGCTGGGGTCTAGAAGAAAAACGACATCAAAAATTTGGAAAAAACGGACTTTAGATAACGATAAATTTGAACGGTCATTTTGTTTTTCTAAAGTTTCAAAAATGCTTAGGGTTTCATTGTACTAAATAGTTGAAAAATAGCATTTTTGGGGTTTTGGGGGGGTATAACTTCTAGAGGGGTTGAGATAGGTAAAAATTTTGTTCTACGAAAATAAGTTTCTAGTAAAGATCTATTTACGTGTGAAATTTCAGCTTTCTAACTTCAAGGGTGTAGAAGTTTTGTAAACAGACACACCGACAGACTGACGGACGGACAGAGTGAAACCAATAAGCACTTTTTTTCAAAAAATTTTTGGAAAAGTGCTAAAAAGTAAAAACGACATATTGTTGTCATTCCTTTCTTAAACATTTCTTGAATTTTCCTTTGGTTTGACCGCCAAGTATGAAAGCAAAATTACATTAAAAGATAAGATAAACACATCATTTTTGCTCAAGTTACGTATGTATAAAAATATTATTTCTTCTTTTAATAAACTTTCAAAAGAGTGTTAATCCATTGATTTACCTCTATATCTTATCTTTGAATTTAATAATTGAACAACAATATTTCCAAGAGTTTATTTTAGGTAAAATAAGGATTTATCAATAGCGCAAAATATGATATACGCTATAAAATAATTTAATCAAATTTTAATCTCAGACTATACGCCCAGCTCCATAAATTATCGATATTTACTGTTCGATTATTGTGACAGCATTTACGAGTAATACTCGAAAATACAATTCAATAATCAAAAAGAAAGCATAACTTGCTTGCGTATTTTACGTTAACTTTTCTCAAAATCAACTTATATATTTAATTTTAAAACGTAATTTTGTAAGATAGAAGATTGGGAACTTTTGCTGAGTTCTCTAAAAGTTAGTAAAAAAATTCGATATCAATGTTTTTTCATCAATAAGTCATTAACATCTCAGAATAAGCCACAATTACTTATTTCAAAACTATTTATTTACAAAAACATAACACTTCTAACAAATTCTGATTAAAAAATATTATACCATATTCATAGCCAATTAACAGCTTCTTCCTTTTAAAACTTTTATCTACTTTTATTCATTAAAAACAATTAGTTTTTATAAATTATTTTTTATTACTTTAATTTTTCAAAAGCTAAAAATAATTTTGTTTTGCCGTTTTATTTTCAACATTTACCCAATATATTTTGTTCGAAAGAAAAAAATACTTAACTTTTTAAATACAACAAAGTGTTGTATATAAGGGAAAATATTTTCAATTTTGAAAAAATATATATGACATCGAAATATATATAGTAAAAATCACACATCGTAAATTTTTTTTACTTTTTGGCCTAAAAAAAGCGTTAGTAAACAACTTTGGAGTTGACAAGAGATGTACCATCAACTGTACCAAAAAGCTCTTTCTATAAGATGTATTTCGGTAAGCGAATATTTTCATAAATTAAAAAGTATACTAGAACTTAATGAAAAATTTGAATTTGATACAAATAAAACCTTAGAATTTAACGCTAAAATGAATGAATAAGAACTTGAACCATAATTTTAAGAACTTTTTTAAATAATATTGACGTAAACTTATTGACGTTAATTATTATTAAGAGGAATATTCAAATTTTCAGAGAAGCTTATAATACCTTAGTAAATTTTAATTTAGTTAGAGCAAAAAATAAATATAACTATGGCAATAGCTCAAATAACAAAAATAAATATAATCGTACAAGAAATGATATTAAAAATTTAAATGTAAATCACAGATTTGGTAATTTTAATTTTCTAACTAACAGATAACCAAAACAAATTTCTAGTAATTATAATTAAAATAATAATAACTAAACAAATAATTCTAACTCTGGATGGTCAAGACTAACCCCAAATTATAACAACTATTAAAACAATTATAATAATAATTATAACGGCTCTGGACTGTCGAGACAAAATAACAACTATGGAAATAATAATAATTATCAAGAACCTATGAAAATTGACCATATACAGGGTGAGGTGAATTTTTTCACTGCTCCACAAAAACGAATTTTCCAAAAATAGAACTTACAGTAGGTAATAAAAAGCTCAGATGTCTAATAGACACTGGCGCTCCGACTACTCTTTTAGATAACAATAAACTCCCTAGATATAAGAGAATAAATATTAGAAAACCAATTACTTTTAACACTATTAATAAAACATATTGACAAAGGAATAAAAAAAAATCACCCTTAGAATTTAAGGAAGACGCTGAAATTATATCTGGATTAACCAGGCTGGACAAAACACTTTTGACAGCATTATAGGCCAAAATATTCTTAAGCCTCTAGGAGCTATAATGACCTGAAAAACGACATGCTACAATTAAATAAAAATGGAATAAAATTTTTAGATGCTTGCTCCTGTAGTCTAAACGAAATACAGCAACTAGAGTATAGTAGCATAAATATGAAGATTTCGAAAATTTAACCAGATCTTTGAATACTGAAGAAGAGAACCACTTGAGTAAATTACTTCATAACTACAACGATCTCTTCTTTAATGAGGGCGATCATTTGACTAGTACGACTGAAATTCAACACCAAATAATAACAACTACCGATAAGCCAACATATTCTAAAATATATAGATATCCGTAGATTCGTGAAGAAGAAATATCGAAACAAATATCTGACATACTCAAGCAGGGAATAGTTAAAGAAAGTAATTCGCCTTGTAATAGTCCTTTGTGGATTTTACCCAAAAAGGCCGTCAATTCAGAACAGAAAAAATGGAGAATAGTGATCGACTACCGTAAGCTCAATAAGGTAACGGTTGACGATAAGTTTCCCATTCCTAACATCGAGACAATATTGAACAAACTTGGCAGGGCACAATATTTTACCACCCTTAATCTTGTCATGGATTTTCATCAAATTTTGGTAAGGGAGGAAGATAGAAATAAAACAGCTTTTTCTACTCTTCAAGGCGATTATGAATATATAAGGAGGCCTTTTTGCCTGAAAAATGCACCAGCAACTTTTCAGCGTCTAATGAATTCTATTCTCAGAGATTTCATAAATAAAATGTGTGTCGTTTACCTTGACGACTTATTGATTTTCAGAACAACACTAACAGAACATATCTGTAGTATAAAATTAATTTTTAATATGTTATACGTGAATTTAATCTTAAGATTCAATTCAATAAATGTAATTTTCTTTCTTAGCAAACTGAATATTAGGGTCATGTTCTAACACCCGAAGAAGTTAGACGCAGTCCCAAAAAGATTGAGGAAACTTAAAAAAATCAATAACTGAAACCCCGACACTTAAATACCCTGATTTTAATAAAAAAATTCAAATTAGTAAGAGACGCTAGTCAAAATGCAATTAGTAATATTCTCTGTATGCTTTGCAAGTAGAACGTTAAATGAGCATAAAAGGAAATATTTGGCCACAGAAAAAGAGCTTTTGGCTATCGTATGGTCGACTAATTATTTTACACCTTACCTTTACGGTGTTAAATTTGATTTATTGATTGACCACCAACCATCAAAATGGTTATACTCCAAAACACAAGGTAAAGATGTTCCCAAGACTTTATCGTTGGTTACTCAAATTAAGAGAATATAATATTAATATCGATTATACATAAACAGTAGTAAACAGATTTAAAACAGATTTTAACAGACGAAAAAGTTAAAGAAACAGAAACAATACATAACAACGGAAAAATATATATAAATTCTCAAGACTTACAAAATAATTTATCTAACATAACAATTATCACATTTAAGAAGGTATGTAAGACCGGGTAAAAGCAGAATTTACACCAATCTATCTGACCATCAATATAAGATTCTGCAGTAAAAAATTAAAGAGCTACTCAGCGACATTAAAGGAATTTAATTTGTCAAATACTCGTTTCATGCAGTGGAAGAAGCTTACAAACAAATAAATAAATACCATAGATTAGAAACTAAACATACACACATATATATTTTCCAAATCCGATAGGAACCCAATAAAAGAAAAACTTGAATTCGCGGAAACTCCCGAAAATATTAAGCAGGTTATACATATGAATGTATACACCAACTCCAAATCGAATTTTCTTACATTTTTAGATATATTCTCTAAATTCTTGACAACTTTTTATCTTGAGGATAGAAATAACCAAACAATAATTCAAAAACTCAGGGATTACAAATCACAAAGACGGCACTTTAATGTAGTAATATTCATATGAGTTTATTATAGCTAAATGTAATTATATAATATTGTACTGAAAAGTATTCATATTCAATGTAATCAAAAATGTCACCTAAAAGAGTATCGAAGTCGAGAATAAAAAAAGAACGACATGCAAGAATTTAATAAAAGAAGAGAAGAAAAGATTATTCAGAAAGTGATCGTAAAGCAGAAAGATTGTGTTTTATTTTAAAAAATTAAACATTATATTAATAAATACGTAACAGATAACGAGTTTCGTAGTATAAATATAAAAGATTTTCTAAGAAAAGAAAATATAGAAC